GAATGAATTGCTGAAGGTTCTGTCATCTGGTATTTCCGCTTCTGCGGCTTGGGAAGCGCAGAAGCGGCTAGACCACCGCAGGAGCGAAATTCGAATGCTTCTTCAGTTTCCGCAGGTGCGGAAGTTTAACCGCAGAAGCGGTTACGCACCTGCGAGATAGTAGTCGCAGATGCGGTCCTTGGAATTTCGTTTGAAACCGCAGAAGCGGTAATGAATCCGCATAAGCGGCAACCGCAGGTGCGGTGAAGGGCCGCAGAAGCGGAAATCTTGACTTTAATGAAGAACCGCAGAAGCGGCTCGTGGTCCGCAGAAGCGGGACCGCAGAAGCGGAAACCCCTGGACAGAAATGGAGATGTCGAGGGTTGGAGTTCATAAGATGCAAAATCAATTGAGAGCTCGGTTTAAGGCGATTTTGAGTGGGTTTTGAAGAGAAAATCATTGGGTAACGTTTCCTTGATCCCTTTTCATTATATTTCATCATTATATTGTTAAATACATCATTGGAATTCGAATTTTGGACCAAAAATTGGATAATTTGGGGTAAAACTTCATTGACTAGACTATTGAGTTTTGAGTGGGCATTTGACCTCTGATTTGGGAGATTTTTATATTGTTAGACTCGTGAGAGTACGAGGGTTCTCAAAATGTGAAAATTATTCGATTCCGAGACGTTGTCTTGAGGGGCATTTTGGTCATTTTACCTATTTTCGCGTCCTAGCTTTAAATTTAATAGTGGAATCAGTTGTTTGCAATATTACTTACGATATGTAATTGAATTGAATAGATTTGGGCCATTTGGAGTGGATACTTGTGGCAAAAGTGTGATTTCGAGTTGATTTTGGTGCCGATTCGAGGTAAGTGGCTTGTCTAACCTTGAGTGGGGGACCTTTCCCCTTAGGATATGATATGTGGTAATTGAGTGCCTTGAACGTGAGGTGACGAGCGCTACTTGATCTAATTTTTGAAAAATCCTATTTTTACTTAAGATATTGAGACTGAGTTTCCTTCATATTTGCCTTGTTTTACTTGTAGTTATGACCTGTGTTAGATTAGAAAAGCATGTTTAGTTGATTTAACTTGCCTAATTGTTTAAGTTGCCTTGACTGTACTTCGTGAAGCATGCTGGCTAGTACTACCTGATGTTTGTCTTTTGTACATCATTTCTGAATATCTTCTGGTTGTGGTTGCGCATTTACATTGGGACTACGGATGTGGGATTCCGGTAGCTCCCCCCCCCCCCCTTGTTTGTTTACTTTGGGACTGCGGGTTCGATTCCCGATAGATCCCCCTGCACATTTACTTTGGGACTGCGGGTTAGATTCCCGATAGATCCCCCTGTACGTTTACTTTGGGACTGCGGGTTAGATCCCCCTGCACATTGATAGTTGGACTACGGGACGGTATCCCGGGAGATCCTTCGGATATACACATATGATGGACTACGGGACGGTATCCCGGGAGATCCACTGGACAGTTGAGAAAAGGGCTACAGGACGGTATCCTAGGAGACCCTCATTGTTATCATTGATATTGAGCTGTATTTATTCTGTGTTTACTCTGTTCTTTTGTAGTTGTTATTGCCTCATTGACCTGCCTTATTTCGCTGCAGTACTCATTATTTCTGTCAGATTTTCATACTGTTAATTATCATTATTATATTTTGCCTCAGTAGGGCCCTGACCTTCCTCGTCACTACCCAACCGAGGTTAGGCTTGGCACTTACTGAGTACCGCTGTGGTGTACTCATGCCCTTCCTGCGCATGTTTTTCATGTGCAGATCCAGGTACCTCTTCTCAGGCGCACTATCCTTGAGGCGAGGAGATACACGGAGACTTCGAGGTATATCTGCAGCGTCCGCAGACCGAAGAGTCTTCTTCCTTATTCTAGTTGTAGAGCTGTTATTCTATCATACTCTTGATGTAGATATTCTGGAGATTAGAGTACTTATGGTAATTCTATTAGCCTGTGTTTCCCGTGAGTTTTCGAGTTTTGGGATTGAGTGGTAGACTTCCGCATATCTTTAGAGTTGTATAGACCGGGCGGCCTTATATTCAGTTGTTATTTTCCATATGTTCGGTTTTAATTGATTATTCCTCAAGTTGAATTGTTATTTCCGCACTGTTAGGCTTACCTAGTTGTAGGAACTTGGTGCCATCACGACATGTTCATGGAGGGTGAACGGGGGTCGTGACACTTCAGGACTTTCGGCCTAAGTTTTTTGAAAAAGCTTTAGTACAAAAACTATGGAATCCATACACAACTTCAGCTTTTCATGTGCCGAAGTTTTTAGAAATATACTAAAAAACTTCAGCACATTGGGCCGAAGTTTTAATGTGCTGAAGTTTTTTGAAAAAGATTTAGGACAAAAACTTTTGAATCCAATACAATAACATCAGCTTTTCAGGTGCCGAAGTTTTTAGAAATATACTAAAAAACTTCAGCTCATTGGGCCGAAGTTTTTGTAAAAAGCTTTAGGACAAAAACTTTTGAATCCAATACAAAAACTTCAGCTTTTCAGTTGCCGAAGTTTTCAGAAATACACTATAAAACTTTAGCACATTGGTCCGAAGTTTTTTGCATTTTCTAGCTACTTTTTGTTATTTATCACGTATATCAACTACTTTTTGTGGCCTTATTTTTTACTATTTTTTTTATTGCATTTACCAACTACTAGCATTTACCACTTACTTCTTTTGCCAACTACTTATGTTCTTACATTCAATTTCTCTGAACAAAAATCTGGTAACAATCTCTTCAGCATTTATAGATATTAAATTGATTAGCTGCATTCTTTGGCTATATTAACAATCTCCTCACTTGAAAATTTCATAGTCATCCATAGACTTCTATCAGATTTCTTTAAATTTGTATTCAAAGAAAAATAAGGAAATGTTGGCTAAGACATGCTTTTTGGGTGTAGCAGGGAGTTCGAGGGAAGCAAAGATAGTGAAGGAGAAGTCGAAATACTTCATATGTGAAGGGGAGTGGCCAGATCAAATACTCGAGCACCAGGAAAATTTGCTCTTTTTACTAGTTGATAAATCTAACTTTTAGGAAAAAGAGCAAATTTCCTGGTGCTCGAGTTTTTGATGTGGCCAGTCTCCGTCACATATGAAGTATTTTGGACTTCTCTTTCACTATCTTTACTTCCCACGAATTCCCAGATGCACACCAGTAAGCATGTCTTTGCCAACATTTTCTTGTTTTTTTCTTATGAAAGTATACGGTAGTTGCTAAAAAAATTATAGTACTAAACTTCGTCAACCTGTGTCTGACCGACAACTCTTTGGTGGAGGACATAGTGAAGTTTCATGGAATGTGGTAAAGAAAACCAAGAAGAGCAACTATGACATTACTATGGAGAATATGAAGACACTCTGTCAATTTTTTGAATAGAGAATAACTTGTAAACAAAGAACTAATTTTTTCTTTTTTTTACAAGGATGTAAGTGAAAATAAAATTGTATTTTATGAATATACATTATTTTGTGTGAATTATGTGATTTGGATTGAGTCAAATATTTTTATGTCTTTTTTCATGAATTTCAAGTATATTTTTGTTGAAATTCAGCATGCTAAACTTCAGCTCATCACTAAATACACTAAATAACTTCAGTAGTATCTGCGTAAGTTATTTGAAAACTTCAGCTCCTACTGCTGAAGTTTTTAAGTAATAACTAAAAAACTTAAGCAACTATGCCGAAGTTTTTTCATGCAATATGAAATTTTAATTTAGCCAGTGTAGGAGCAAAACGTCAGCTCCTCCTGCTGAAGTTTTCAAATAATAACTAAAAAACTTCAGCTCCTAGGCCGAAGTTTTTTCATGAAATATGAAATCTTAATTTAGCTAGTTTAGGAGCAAAACTTCAGCTCCTCCTGCTGAAGTTTTTAAACAATAACTAAAAACTTCAGCACCTAGGCCGAAGTTTTTTCATGAAATATGAAATTTTAATTTAGCCAGTGTAGGAGCAAAACTTTAGCTCCTCCTTCTGAAGTTTTTAAACAATAACTAAAAAACTTCAACACCTAGGCCGAAGTTTTTGTTGTAATACGATTTTTTAATTTAGCCAGTGTTGGAGGAAAACTTCAGCTCCTCCTGCTGTAGTTTTCAAATAATAACTAAAAAACTTCAGCTCCTAGGCCGAAGTTTTTTTATTAAATATGAAATTTTAATTTAGCCAGTGTAGGAGCAAAACTTCAGCTCCTCCTGCTGAAGTTTTTAAACAATAACTAAAAAACTTCAGCACCTAGGCCGAAGTTTTTTCATGATATATGAATTTTTAATTTAGCCAGTGTAGGAGCAAAACTTCAGCTCCTCCTGCTGAAGTTTTTAAACAATAACTAAAAAACTTCAGCACCTAGGCCGAAGTTTTTTCATGAAATACGAATTTTTAATTTAGCCAGTGTAGGAGGAAAACTTCAGCTCCTCCTGCTGAAGTTTTTAAATAATAACTAAAAAATTTCAGCACATTGAGCCGAAGTTGTCTGAAAAAGCTTAAGACAAAAACTAATGAATCCAATAGAAAAACTTCAGCTTAGCATGTGCTGAATTTGGAAATGTACTACAAAACTTCAGCAAATTGGGCCGAAGTTTCTTGAAAAAGCTTTAACACAAAAACTTTAGCATGTTTTGGTATTTTTTTTAAGTTGATACTTATCTTTTTTGCATTTACTATCTACTTTTTGTCTTTTGTCAACTACTTCATCTTTCATTTAAGTTACATTTCTTTTTACTATAGAAAAACTGTGGAGCTGAAGTTACATTTCTTTTTGCATTTACAATATACTTGTTTTTACCACCTACTTATCTTGTTTCATTCAATTTCTCTGAACGTAAAACAGTAAAAACAGGTGAAAAGTTACTTTTACATTTATAGATATTAAATTGATTAGGTAAACTCTTTGTCTATATTAACAATCTCTTCACTTGAAAATTTCATAGACTTATATCATATTTCTTTAATTTATATTCATCCTTAGTCTTTCAACTTTTGTTAAAGAAAAAATGTCTGGTGCAAGCGGAAGTCGGAAGCCTAATATGGATGAAATTATGATGAAGTGGCAGAGTTTGAAGTGTGAGTGGTACAATAACAAACCGATGGCTAATCTTATGCTTTTGTGGGATGCAATAAAGGCTGATTGGGAGAGAATTAGACCAAAGCTTTGTGCCAATCAATCATTCCAGAACAGGCTAAACATGGAACGTAGTTGTGGAGATAATTCAACCTCGTTCGACAAGGTTGTGTAGCAGTTTGATAGTTTTCAGTTTCCCAGCTGGAACGACTATTCCAACTTGCAAAACAAACTGAAGACTCTTATTCCTCTTATGGATAGAGTAATCGTCGAACAAAGTCAGTTGCGTGATGAATTCAACAAGTTGAAGATTGATCTTCTTGGATTCAGTGGTCTTTTGCCCGACTACCCTATAGTTATCTCCGATAGTGATGATGATGAGATATTTAGAGAAATTGAGGAGTATTGTGATGATGATGATGATGATAATGATGGTGATGATTGTTAGTGTTTGTAATCCTTTTTTTATGTTCCAGTGGTATGATTTTTGTTTACTTCAGCCCATAGAGCTGAAGTTTTTTAGGTTAATTTTGTATAACTTTAGCCTAGAGAGCTGAAGTTTTGTTTGTAATATGTGTGTTGTTCTGACCTCTTTTTATATCAACGTAATTGTCACCCTCTTTGTTGATATTTGCTTTATACTTCTTAGTTTCTTAGAGATGCTACAGCTTTTGTTTGTACATGTGTTTCTTTTTGTGTGCTATACGCATGTGTGTGTGTGTGTGAGTGTTTGTATGTGTATGTGTGTGTTTGTTTAAGGATATGCATTTCACATACTGTAACCTGAAGTTTTTTCTCGCAAAAGTCATTGCGTACTTTTTTAATATGCAACCAAACCTGTAAGCTTGCGCAACAAAAATGAGTGATTTGTACTTTAGCAGTATATAAAATATTCCAAGACCTTATTTTTTTTATTCCTATGAAAAAAATCGCATTTCAATTATGTCATATAATAAAGAAAGTCTAAATTCAGACCAAGGATTATTGAAGCTTGGAGTATTTTTCAGTGTGTTTCTTAGAATATGGATGAGGTGCTGGAGAAGACAAGCATGTTGTTCTGTTATGCCCAACTTGTTTACATCGACTAAATTTGGTAGACTTGAATGGTACTGATGATTCAGTCGCAGGTATATGCCTCTTCTTTTGTCTTCTTCCTTGTAAAATCTCTACATCGGGAGGTTTTGTGATCTCATATTGTACATTTTGTGGTATTTTCCATGATTTTTGATCTCCCACGGTATTCACATGTCCTTCATATGTTTTCAACCATGTTTCCCTTGAATACCAATTTGAGCAGTAATCAGATTTCTGCAAATATCTCTTATTAATAGCAGCAATTGCATATGGACATGGCAATTCATCAAGTTGGAATTCCAGGCAGTCACAAGTTCTCTTCTTTAAGTCCACAATGAATTCGATTCCTTCACTATTTATTCTAAACAACATTGAGTCAAGGTTGAACACCTAACAAGGAATAAAAAATTAAGACAAGCTATATTAGTGTATTTTTGCTTCAAAAAGAAAAAGTATGAAATTTTTTAAATGTAAGCAGTAAATCAGTGCAACAGATATAAAAAGCTGAAGTTAATAAATATACTCACAAATATTTTGCAAGCCAAATCCATCTTCTTAGTCATCTCTTCTTCTGCCCATATTGATACTCTGTGAAAAGTTTCATTTGCCTTTTTTCTCCGTTCGTAAAACCACTCTCCCAACTTTTCTTGGATGAAATCTAACATTCTTAAAATAGGCATTTCTCTCCCTTTTAGTAAAATGGAATTCATTGATTCTACCATGTTTGTTGTTAGCATATCATAACGTCGCCGTGGGAACCAGATCGAGCGCATCTCTCGGGAGGCTCTTCCATTATGTAATTATATGTTTTCTTGTCAATACTTTTGAGTTGGGACATTAACTGATTAAAATCTTCACGTTTGTATGACCTTGCAGCACTTTGAAAAAGATTTATTACCGTGGCTTTTACATGTCTTTGCTTTAAATTTTTCTCAAAGTGATAGAGGCAGATACCATGGTGAGCTTCAGGAAAAACTTTTCTAATACCATTTGCGATCGATTGGTTTCTATCTGACAAGAAAACCAGTTCACGACGGACTTGAATTGCTTTTCTCATTTCCCCGAAGAACCAAATGTATGCATCATTGTTTTCTGATTCTGCTACACCAAAATATAAAGGAAAGATTTGATTGTTTGCAACCTTTGATACAACAACAAATAGAACACCACGATATTTGGACTTTAAAAACGTTGCATCTACTGCAATAACGGGTCTATAGTAGGACCAACCAGCTACTGATGTCGCAGGAGCAAAGAACATGTAAGCAAATATGTACAGTGAAACACAAAAAAAAACAAATCAAAAGGTGTGAATTTTTTCGAATAGGAACATTTGAAACTTCAGGCTGATGGTTAGTATTGTTTTGCTTACCTATTTTGAGCATCTTTTTTTATGCTTGTGTATAGGGGTGTGCATTCGATTTATCGATTCGATTTTGACCCTTATCGATAATTACTTATCGATTATCGATTTGTACATATGCTTATCGTTATCGTTTCAATAAGGTTTCGATTTTTTCGATTTCGATTTATCGATTTTGGGGGCTTATCGATTTGGTTATCGATTAAACCAATAAGAAAATTTGCGGGATTCCACGGAAAGTATATCGCTATAAACGCGCCTAACTAATATGGACAAAAAGAAGCTAAAATAAGACGAACACCATTTATATTATAAAAATTGTGTCAACAAGCACATGCAACAATACTAAAGTAAGGGATCAAATGTATGCCACCAACATTCCAACGGTATAAAAAAAAACACATCATCACGGCTAATTCTGTTTTCCATTAATTTGAACTTCATTCCCTTGATCTTTAAATATGATCATTCCTTAAATGTGGTAGAGGAAATAATAGGGTAAGGGACTTAGGGTAAATGAAAGGGTATAGATTAGGGAAAATAATATTGTATAGTCGCTTTCAAAATAGTAGCGGAATATATATACATTCTGTATGTTATATTAATCTACACAAATAGGTAATTACTCATTTAACAAGTGTCTACAGTCTAGGGTTGTGCATTCGATTTATCGATTCGATTTTGACCCTTATCGATAATTACTTATCGATTATCGATTTGTACATATGCTTATCGTTATCGTTTCAATAAGGTTTCGATTTTTTCGATTTTGATTTCGATAACAAATAATCGATTCGGTTTATCGATAAACCGATTCGAATGCACACCCCCTACTTGTGTACGTTCCTGGGTTTTTGGCCACCATCATGTGTAGGTATGAAGGAAGAATCTGCTAGTTCTCTTCAGGTGTTCCCCTTATGCAAGCAACAGCTTTTTGAATAGCACGCCATGCCTTGTGATAACCAATGTCAATTCCAAATTTCTTTTTCATTTCATTTTCTACAAAGGCTGGTGTAACCTCTATCTTTTTGTCTCGAACATGTTCTATAATTTGTTCACTTATAAAATTTGATGTAGCATGCTTCTGATCTGATTTTCTTGCATCAACCGAGCATTCATGGATGTTATGATATTTTATCACCCTGAACAGTGTGGAATGTTTTATTCTGGTAGCACATACATTCCAACCACATTTGTCCATGATGCATTTCAGCTCGTATCTCTTGGAACATGATCTAACAGCAGTGAATTCAACTTTCTGGTTTATCTCCAAGCTGCAGAAAAATTTAGTCATGTTTTGTTTGTTCTCAAAGATTGATCCGACTCTTACTTCCTCAGGCAACGCATCGTGCCTTAGTATTTTACATGGTGGAGATTCTTTCAGCTTTCTCCTCACTCTTTTTCTTGATTTCTGAGAAGCACAAGAAGTTTCAGCAATTTCTTCAATTCTATCTGATGGTATCGGTATAAGCTCCATGTTTACTTCATCTTCGTTGTTGCTTATTATTGCAGAAGGTAATAAAAAGCTTTGTTGGATTGTGTGTTGGTTGTCAATTTGCATTATTAGTTGTCCTTCTTCTTCTTGCTCATCGACAAACTGATATGAATTTATTGGAGGAGGGGTAATTGTGGCAGCACTATATATTCTAAAGCAGCTGTAATGTTAGAAGGTTGTTGCCCGTTGTCTACTTCCATTATTGGCTGTCGTACTTCATGTTGATAGTCAGCCTTAGGTTCTGAATCTATCGCATATGCAAGACATTGGTTGAGTGCTGCAGATTCTGAAGGTTGTATTTTTTCGATGACGAAATGGCAATTCTTGTAGGCTGAATCAGTTGTAAGCAAATGTATACACGTACTGAGTTCTTCATTTGAAGTTACAAGCATTCCTTTGCTTGTATTTAGTTTGATATCAAACCATACTTTTAGTACATATCTGGTTGAATCAATATTTGCAACTTCACTAATTTTCTTCAGGAAACTATTGAATGATATGTCCTTATTAAGTAGAACAAGTTTTGTATCATGATCCAAGTATTTGAAATCAGGAGTCCAACTCCCATTGAAAGTTATAACAACGCAAATCGGATTCATCATGTAGACTGTAGTTTTGGTTAAAAGTCATAACAAAAGTGTCAAATGTAGGACAAAAACTTCAGCTCATCACTAAATACACTAAATAAACAAAAGCTTTACGACACATACTATCGAGTCCAGGACAAAAACTTCAGCTTATCAAGTGCTGAAGTTTTTAGAAATGAACTAAATAACTTCAGGACATTGACCTGAAGTTATTTGAAAAAGATTTAGGACAAAAACTATCGACTGCAGGAGAAAAACTTCAGCTTATCAAGTGCTGAAGTTTTTAGAAATGAACTAAATAACTTCAGCACATTGAGCTGAAGTTATTTGAAAATGAATTCAACAAACTTGAACACGTTTTAGCATTAGTTGCATAGTACACAGGAGTGAACATAATAAAGATAATTAAAGTAGTAATTATATTCCGTTGGGGTTATGTGTTAGTCTAATAATTATATTCCTATCACATTCATGCACGCTTTTCTTTATACAACGTTTAAAATTCCTCTTTGCCTTTTCATATACCATGCACAATTTTTTTTCAACAGTAAAAGCACGATATACTTTGAGAGTTTATTCACTCAAACAAATATATTCTAGCATACATAAAATACAAAAAGAAGAAAAATGGATGCTGTCATTGTGAGCACATGATT